TATCACGTGATGTGATTATAAAAAGGGAAAATCTCTTAAATAAATATTATATTTGGACTTTATTTTAATGTGATAGTAATTATAATATGTTTGTGACTATATAGGAGTCATTTATATATAAAAAAATTTGGGACTGTAGATCAATGTGACTATATAAGAGGTGAATATAGGAGGACGACTGTATTAATAAAATACATTATAAATTCTATAGATACAAAACTAATTCCTTTAAAAGAAAATACATTAAAAAATCAAGGTATTATATTAAATATATATTAATTTTTTTTATAAAATATTTAATAAAATATTAAAAATTTACATATTTTATAGGTTTTATTTCTGCTTCCATCAAAGTAACTCTCAATCGAAATACAAAATTCTTACAAGATCATAAAGAAATTAAAATACCAAAAGAAATGCCACAAATTAATATCGAAAATATTTATACGCATAATTGTAATAGTGTAAAATTAGAAGTTTTAATTAAATAATATAAATTAAAATATCGATAAAACAGAGCTAATCATTGAAAAAGTTAGTTACCATGAAAAAACTAGCTAAAAATATCCTGGGAGATAATATGTTTACATGCATAATTAATAAAATTACGATGTTTTTTATCATAAGTCACACTTAGTGCGACAGGATATAAAATTAAAATTTTCATATATGAAATAATATATTATTAATGCTGAAAAATATTTACAAAAGAAAATTTTTTCTTAATATTATAATTTTATATAATTTTTCTTAATAATCTTAAAAAATTTATTATCACAAAATTGTAAATAAGTTTATTCAAGAGTTAGACTTTGTATAATAGCTATTTGAGTATTGAATTTTAATGATATAGGATCGATATTCGTTAAAGAATCGGGTAAATTTGGTAGGATAGTTATTTGAGTATTACGGCAATAGAGTTAAATTATTTTATACTAAACAGACGAAATACCTCACGGACAAGTTCTTTAACAGTGGATTTGTTAAAGTTATGAAATGATTTTAACGCTAGCTGTTGCTTTGAACTTTTCCAATTTGCACGATAGACTTTTCCAAAGCTGCCAGTACCAATTTCTTGAAAATTGTTAAAATGTTCGTATTCGTAATATTTGATACTTTTTTTTGAAATAAAATCTTCAATACAATTAACCTCCTCATTCAAATTGTTGACAGTTTGCATTTTGATTTATCAAATATTTTATATAGCGAAATGAATTTAAAATTTTTGGAGAAAAGCAAAAAAAAAAAAAAAAAAAAATATGCACGCGGTAAATCTTTGCTAAGCCACCAGTCACACACGATGATCAGCAGCAATAAAATTCTACAAATAAAAATGATATTTCGTGCCTGACAAAGTATATCTTTATGTCATATTATTACGGTATGATAGGAATGATTGATTATGTATAGGTACGATACTAATCACAAAAAATCATTAATATTTTAATCCTTTAGGTACTATCAATCATATGATTGTATGATATAAATCATACCGTTATATCAAATAATCACAATGGAAAATCGTAAACCCACCCAGATATTATAATTACATTCTTATATAATGATTTTATGTATGATGGTATGATGATTTAGTCTTTTTACTTCACGTTAATATTTTTCCTGCCATTTTTTTCATTTAAATTAACCTTTTCTCTTTAACACTTTGCATTATCATTTTATCAATGGAAAATGATACAGTAATTGAAATTGAAGCGAAATTACATTAGAAGATAGGAAAATGCAACCCAAATAAAATGAAATTGTTCTAAAGTTAAAAGAATTGCAGCTCAAAGGAATTGAATAATAAAATGGGACCATATTGTTGTGCAAAGTTATTATTTGCTACTTAGTTTATTATTTAAAATTTCTAAAGGCAAACTTGCTCGACATTACTCAAGGGGTAACTTACGGCTTCAATACAACAGGTACGATATGATTGACAAATGTAGTAATCATACCAGTACAATATTAATCGTAATGGCAATTAAACAATCATACCGTAATGGATGCACAATAACGTAACGTCACCATTTAAAGAATACCGCTCCAAATTATAATCGTACGACCATTTATTTGATAAAGTACCGCACCGTTCTTATAATAATAAGCATTTATATATAGGACCACCACGATACGATACTTTCTATAATTGTACCGTACCGGGTTTCTCTATACTCAAAAAATTATCGATCTGTTCGAACATTATCATTGCCAAATTTAGACTTATTGTGATGAATTTCACATCACATTTTTAATTAAAATCTTTTTTTTTTATGTTAGATTACAGTACAGAAATATCATATGGGGCCTTTGCAATAGAAAGGGGGGAAACAGCCGAAAAAATCAAAAGTGAGTTAATGCTAAATTTGAACATATTTCAGCATAAAAATCATATTTGGCATATAAAGTAAAATTAATTTTTCCCGGCAGTTTCCCCCCTTTCTATTGCAAAGGCCCCATATATCTGATAAAACTAAAATTTGATTTTAAAACTCATAAAAGCGAGAACGAAAAGGTGTTTATAGTTCTATTGTTAAAAATTATATCGAAATTATTTGATTAATTTGCTGCGTTCAGTGTACATATTTTATTAATGTTCAGTTTATATTAATGTCTATCGTCTCATTATTATTCAAAACGATAATTATTTTTTTAAAACAAAAAATGCAAAAAATTAAAATCGATTATATTTTTAAAATGTCAAGATACTGTACATAAGAAATTAGAGTTTGATTTATTAACTTTTTATTTAAACACTCAGTGATAAAATGAATTCAACTGGATTTGGTTTTTATCATCAGAAAGCATTTTTCCTTTAATTTACTTACGTCCTTCACCTAAAATTAACAAGCTACGAACTTCCGCTTGTGCGACTCCAAGATCGTAATAATTCTTCTTTTGAAATTGCGTCATTAAATTTGTTTTGATGATCTTCAACAAAAATAATTATACTAACTTACTGCTTGACAAATACTGTAAGGATATTGAAAATTTAAAAAAAAAAGTTAATCAATGAGAATAATTATACACCACAACAAAACATCTTGAACTTCGAAAGTAAAATTGACTAAGCTAAAGTTTATTAATTATTATGGTGCAATGCAATAAGCGAGAATATGAACTAGAACAGCGGAACTGAGGGAAAGCTAAAATGATTATTTGGTTTTCATATAAAGTGGAACCTATATTAATTATTGAAGATACACAGAGGTACAAATATACAATGAGCTGTTAAAATAAACCACGACCGAATGTGAAGATAAAAACGAAGATAAAGATAAAGGAGGAAATATAGAAAAAGAGGAAAAATACAAAAAAGGAGAAAGAGAAGAAAGGAAAAGAAAGGAAAAAAATGATCAAGCACGAGTTTATCAAAGTTAAAAATTTTCTCAAATTGGCCAATGAACATTAATTGTCATTCTGTGATCAAACGACCCATATAATTATTTGAGCATACGACATCAGGTTTAGGGTGTTGCATAATAAAAAGGAATAAATTTATATTCAAATAATTTTTAGAAATATAATTATTTTTAGATCTTATATAAAGTATCATGCCAGCAGAGCGGGAATATTGTACATTTTATAATATATATATTAACGTTAATATTCAACTATTCGTTTATTTTTAAAGGAATAATTAAGTTTATTGTTCCAAATAAATAGCAAGATTCCCTAATCATAAAATTCGTTATCGCCAATACAGTAGCATAGTAAGCTTTTAAATGTTTTTTTATCGAAGGGATAAGTAATTATTCAATAAATCATGTGAACTTGAATTTTAAGATGTCACGGGCAATAAATAATTTTAACTATTCTAGTATAAATAGTAAAAAATATGAGATTGTAATGATTTTTTCAATAATAGAAATTATAATAAAAATTATACGATACGAAGAAAGCATAAATGTAAATTTTAAATATTAATTAATAATGTTCTTAGTGATGGATGCTTACTTATATGAATAAGATCGGCAATGTTTATCACATAACGTCACATCGCAGACAAATTACATACTTTACATACTACTCACGTTGATAAAGACACGCGTGACGGAAGGAATTTCTTAGATAAGTTTTTTCTCTTACTCTTCTTCTCTTGCATAGAACGTCGTTTATCCAAGCTTAACATACGTTATGCCAACTATTACTCTTAACTGTTTGGTCGTAGGTGAAAACCCCTATGAAAATGCTTTCAACATCAAGACTAACTTGACAAAGGCGATTTGCGAACTCAAAGAAGCTATCAAGGTGAAGAAGGCACCCGAGTTCGATAATTTCGCTGCAGACAAACTCATATTATGGAAGGTGGACATTTCCCTCGAAGAAAATGGAGAATTAATAGCCGTCAATACAAAAATCAACACTAATATAAAGGACGAGCTTGGAGGTGTAGAGCTTACTTCGCTTTCGAAGATTAGCAAGCACTTTCCTTCTCAGCCAGCTATCGAGCACCTTCATATCGTCTTACAGCGTCCCGTTGAAGCTAAAGATATACATTGTACAGGAGGCAATGGTAGGTGTTTAAAGTTTTCGACAGAAACACATTATACGATTTTTGATAAATTTTACAAAGGCCAAACGCTTGTTACTTCATATAGCTACGACAACTACCACCATTACCACCTTGAACAAGGCCAAACGTCTGCTCTCTGAGACTCAATATGTTCGTAAACATCTCGCTAATAACGATTTGAAAGCGAAAAATTTTTATGTTTATTTCAATCACTCCACCTTGAAGGAAGGCGTAGAAGTTCTTCATAAAACATTAGAGGCTCTAAGAGACGATTCAGAACTTGGTAATCTTGTGAGAAGAATATTAGGAAGGGACGTATTCTTCAAGAGTGATAAAGCAAAGATTTATTTTCAGCGAAAAAAGAGAAAGGATGATGTGTTGTTAGGTACAGAGACGACATTAAGTATGGCGAACGAAAGGATTGTTTTAGCAAACGAAATTGCACATAAAAATTCTCTTGACTGTTTGAGAGAAATAGAAAGTCTTTCAGATGAAGAAGACTATGAAGAACTTGAGGTTGAGGATGAACTTCAGCAAGAAAATTTCTCATCAAAATTTCCTGTTGTAGTCGAATGTGACAACGCCCAAACTAAAAGCTGGCCGCACTATCTTGATGTACTTCCTATCCATGCTGAATACTTATTTATGGAGGAGGACTGGATAATGAATGGTGTAACCTTAAGCAATAATTTGAAAGGAACTGGGTTTGTCTTGAAATGTTATCATAATCAATTCCTTCTTTTTTGATAGGATTCGTTAACACATTTTTAAATTTTTGTTCAGTATAATTAGACGTGGCCACTTCAATTTTTCAGACACGGAGTGTACTTCTCAGATAAGCGATGAACACTGGGAAAATGTCTTGGTCCCATTTTTGACACAGCACAAGTTGAAAAATGCGCTTTCCACCGAAAATGATGAAAAAATACTGTTGGAAATGTTCGGTGAGGAAAATAAGAAAAAGCTCTTAGAGCAAGGAAACTTAAAATTGATAGTCAGCTTGTGTGATACCGAAGAGGACGCCACAAAAGTCCTTGAAATGGTGAAACGAATACGATTGGTTTTATATCTTAAAGGATTTGCTGATTGTCAGACCCTCAAATCATTGGAGATGAAATGGGCAAAATCTATCCCTTCCGACATTTTAGATAAACAGTTGCGAGACATTTTGTGGGCAACTGAGCTAATAAAATGGGTGTAAGTGTGTATAATAGCTAACCTTACTTTCATAATTGCTAATAATAGTTTAAATTGTAGTATCATGCAATGGCAAGACGGTACCTTCCTTAAAGAAATGAAAGAGTCGTGGGTGAAAACTCAGCTGACATCACGACTTCTTGTTCCAGTGATTCCAGTAAATCCCGGTGAAACTGAGTCTGACGCAGAAAAGACTGTTGCCAATTATAAGAAATCACTATTGTCTCCAAAAATAAAAGCAAAGTTTCGTGTAGATGGGCTTGACAAAGCTGAAGAATTCGAAAATGTTTGGGTCGAGTTGAAGGGTGGTGTCGGTACTCGGCATGAATCCGAAAACAGCAACAATCGTGAAGATTTAGACGTCTTACTCAAAGGTTTCTCAGTTATGTCTGCAATGCAAGCTTTAACAATGCCGGAAGAAGCAAAGAAAAGGATTTGCGAGTTAGAATTTTTTGGCATAAGAGGGATTGGAAATCATTTCCAATTTTGGGGCTGCCACCAGACCTCCAGATATCTAATGTGCTCGTACTTGTTAGGAGAATTTCACTTACCTTCATTTGAGGGAAGAGAGGGTAGTGGCTTGCAGGAGCTGTTGTATGCGATAAGAGTTATTTACTCGTTCAAAGTAAGCTTTTGTTTTATTGTTTTTCAAAGAGTTGCTCGAGCTTAATCAATAGTTTCATTAATTACCAATTTACAGATAAGAGTAGAAGCCAGCAAATTGGCATTTCATCAGATTAGATCTTCGGCAAGAAGTAAGAGAATTTTTGATGCTGATTCTTCTCCGATCAAGGCAAAAAGAGTTCGGGCATGATGCTTTCCCTTACATGATGGCGTGTCATGGTACAACGTCAATTATTCTTATAACTCCTATGAAATTCATCCATACATCCCATACATCCTAAATATTGATTAAAATTTGTTCAAGTTCGCCGTTACCATACCGTTTTGGAATGGGCTGCTGTGGTCCCGGACGTTGAACTGATTGTATATTGTATCCTTCTATTTATTTTACGTTCGGCGTTACAGACTAATTCCCTTTATATATTTCTCAACGAATGTTGCGTGCGACATACCGTTTTGGAATGGGCTGCTGTGGTCCCGGACGCTGAATTGATTGTTAAATTGTATACTTCCATTGATTTTACGTTCGCCGTTACAGACTAAGTCCCTTTATATATTTCTCAACGAATGTTGCGTGCGACATACCGTTTTGGAATGGGCTGCTGTGGTCCCGGACGCTGAATTGATTGTTAAATTGTATACTTCCATTGATTTTACGTTCGCCGTTACAGACTAAGTCCCTTTATATATTTCTCAACGAATGTTGCGTGCGACATACCGTTTTGGAATGGGCTGCTGTGGTCCCGGACGCTGAATTGATTGTTAAATTGTATACTTCCATTGATTTTACGTTCGCCGTTACAGACTAAGTCCCTTTATATATTTCTCAACGAATGTTGCGTG